AAACTGACGATCAAATCTGGAAGAAGATACAAAGAGAAAAAGATTGCTGGATCCGAAAGAAGGATAAGACGATAACGAGAAAGAAATAGAGAATAAAAAGGAGAAATAAGTAGAAAGTAGAAAAAAAGAGATAGCGATAGAAAAAAAAGAGAGAAGAGATGAGGAAAAGAAAAGTGCATGAGGGAAAGGGAGAAAAAGTAAAAAAGTGTGAAGAAGAGAATGAAAAGGAGAAATAAAGGGGGGAGGAGGGGGAGTAAATGAGAAAAGAAAAAAAAAGAAAAAGAGAGAAAAGCAGAAAAGAAAGCAATGAGAAAGAAAAGGTGAGAGCTACGAAGAGTAACTGAGAGTTCGAGAAGAGCGAGCGAGAAGCAGAGCGAGAAAAAGAGAGAAAGAAATACAGAGTAGTAGAGGCTGGGCAAGGGAGAGAGAAAGAGAGGTGGCACGCGCAATGCGGGTATTGATTCACGGCGGCGGCAGCCGGTAGCCAGCCTGAAACACACGACCGTACCGAGTCGACTCGACTCCACGACTCGATTCACCGTCGAGACAAGGAGAGAAAGAGAGAATCATCCAGCAAGAAGAGAGAAAGGAGAGAGAGAGAGAGAGTTGTCGAGTCGATCGGTTTTACTTCACGAATCGTTCATCGTTAGAACCATTCCGAATATCTTTAAGGAATACACTGTCGATTCCAGTATCGAGAGCTCGCACGAGGTGAAAGAAACAGAATCTCCTTAAGAAACGTCTTTGCCTAAGTATTTTCAATATTTATTGATATTAAGAAGATACATTATTATATAAATAAATTTGTCTCGTAAGTTTATCAAAATATCCTCACAAAAATGTTATTTTATAGTAATTTTGAGAAATATATAAGATTAGACACATATTGCCTGAGCTTAACTTCGCTCTAAATCTAAATCCTTCAATGTTTAAAAAACTAACGAGAAAGTAACATCGCAATTTAGCAGACATAATATATGTCAACGAAAATTTATAGTATAAATTGTTTCCATTTATTTCCATCTTAATTTTATAGAGTAACATTCTTTAAGAGAGAAAATTCACAGTAGATTCCCTCAAGCGTATATTCACGTCTGGAAAACAGTCCCTCTATGTGCTACTGCAGGCGCATAATTATACGAACTGTAGCGATGCAAAAATCGAGAAAAAGTAGCGTGTTTGAAAGCGCATGGGAGTAGATCCGATTTCAGGGTTAGGACCGATCAGGGTTAGATGGTATCGGCCAGGGCTCTTGCATGCGCTTAACATGGCCGGGGATACCCCGGCAATGCGTAGGATTGGACCGCCGCGCCGCTCCCACGAGCCATGCGAGCACTAATAAACATATGCTCGGCTTGGCGTACAATATAAAATATGCTTGATGTAGATATAGATATAACGTAAGAAAATATTTGTAATATATACACAAAGGGTAGAAACGCTGCTGTAATATCTTACGCTGTTCGCAATATCCTAAAAATATTGTTTTGTTTTAAGATTTTTTTTTTTTTAGTCTTTAAATGTATTATTTTAAAATTTAGAATTTAAAGAGAAAAGATCCGGAAAAAGATTTTTATCATGTCTGTGTAAATGATTTCTTTTTAACTTAGATAAAAAATTAAAGCTGTTTTCTGCAGTACGAAGAAAATTCAGTTTTGTTGTTCTTAATAATAAGATTTAATATTAAAAGTTTGACCCTTTTGAATAATTTACGATTTATGAAGTTTCTAACAGGACTTCGCTGCTATAAATTAAAGTTTCATTGAAATTTGTACTGATATTTCTGATGATTCAAGAAAGACAAGATTTTGACAAAGCTCGCTTTCTAACTTTCTTTTATATATAAAACGGAGTAAATACTATAATAATAGATAAATATATTGTATTCTTTATTTGTTTAATAGCAAATCTAATATAAACACACACACACACACACACATATATATATATATGTGTGTGTGTGTATATAAAATATTGTATTATATTTAACTTTTATATTCTTTTGAAGCATTGAGAGAGAAAAGCTATTAATTGTATAATAATAAAATTGATATTATCCAAAAATAAAACATTTACATATTCGCATGCAATCTAAAATATTTTTTTTTCTTAGGTCAATATTGTCCATAATGCGACCAGACGCGAGCATTCGAAGCAGCATCGAATTCGTGTTCGTTAATAAAATCCGTTCGGGGCATCAATTCACCGACGAAGACAACGTGGAATCGAGCGTGATAAATAAAGGAGGGTGCTCGGATCAGCGGCGCGGCGCTGGGATAGATACGTCCCTTAATAGCAAAGGTCGAAAACCTTGTCGAGTTGACTCGTGGGATAGCGCGCAGACCTACTTCCACGTAACGTCGATTCCTTTTATTGATTCTATTTTTGCGAGAAGCCGAGAGAAAGAAAGTAAGGGAGAGAATAAAAGAGATAGAACGCTCACCATGATCACCGGTCATATCACGATTCCGATTCGGTCATCCATCGAAAAATGATAACATCCAAAATTAGGACGTTATCCAAATTACCCGGATGCTACACGAAACGTTAATAATAAAATACTCATTTTGAAAATGGAACGGTTATTTTTACACGATATTGCCTACAAAATACAAAAAATGAACGTCATTATTAATTAATCGAGAATCGATATTCGGTAATCCATTTCCAACAGGAATATTATACTAGTCAAGTGGTTGATACGATAATGCTTCCAGCAATTACGTATATCATTTTTCTAATGGGATATCATCTTAGGAAACACACACACACACACACACACAATACTAGTAAATATCACGAACGATATTGGACTACAATATCGCAATCAAGAAAGATGGAGAACGCCATTAGGCACTGATTATAATTAATACTAAATAATTATGACTTTGAATAAAAGAGATAATCTATCAAAATAAAATTGCTGTAAATTTTTAATAATAAATCAAATTAGGATTTGGTATTCATAAGAGCCTGTATAAAAAGATCGATGTGCTCGTTTCGGAAATAGAAGATGACATTCGTCAATTTGAAAAGTGCTTTAAGAAGAAAACGCGGGGAAAGTGCAAAATAATTGGTCGCGGAAACGATCGGTGGACAGAGAAAGAGATCGTAATTAGATTCGAGCTGGTGAACGGCCGACGACGGCGCGCGTTGCTGGAAATAGAAAGTAACGACTGAACAATCGAAGGCTACAATCGATAGCCTGTAAAGTCGGACGGACTAGCGACGCGAGGGGTGTACAGACACCTTGCTACATTAGACTTTAATTCGGCTGCAGTAGTGCATGACCCGGTATAGTCAGACGCAGCCCTCGTCTGGCACCATCTCTCCGCGACGCGACTGAAGGCTCAGATTATCATTGGAAGATAATTTAGCGGATAAATTGGCCGATTTTTTTCGTAAAATAGACGAGTAAAAAGCTCATCATAATAATATCCATGTAATTATTAGGTGTTGGAATTAATTCGTAGCGTTTTACAAGTGATGGGAAGTACTTTCATTAATGTATTTTTTAATGCTCATGTGAAATAAATAACATTCTTTCATTAAAAACGCTACGAATTAATTCCAACACCTAATATTATTATTGCATTATAATTATTATAATAAAATTACAATCATATGAGCACCTGCTCATGTAAGCTATATTTCTTGTATTTTCTTCATTTTCCTACTTTTTACATAGGAAAATAATTATCTAGCGGGTTAGCAGAATTTTATCATATTTAATATTATATTATTTTTATTATATTAGATTAATGAAAAAGATGCAATTTTTAAAAAGTGCAAAAATACTAAAAATTCGTGTTTTAAAAAGAAGCAAATGAATTTCAAATGTTGCTTTCTGTGTAACACATAGATATTATAATAATAATTCTACAGTTGATAATTTGAATCGTTTAGATAGTAGTTATCCATTAAGTGAAATATCAAAGCAAGAGCTCTGTGCTTGCCGACGTTTATTTAATATAAGGGTAGGAAATATTACCGACGGGGGTAGCTCGATTGAAACGTACCTATCGACAATGTCTGCTTTATCGGAGAGTTTATACCGTTTGCTGCCCTTATCAACGTTATAGCCGACTCTTGCCGACGTTGAAGAGTAAAAGGGGTTAAAACAATGTCGATAAAACAGTTTGCGTGCAACTAGCACTTAAAATCTAGAGGTAACTTTCAAGTGATAAGAGATATGTTGTACCTATTGATATGTTGTCGATATTTCTTGATAAATATATTCGTATTATCCCCCTTTAAAGAAAGCATAGTAAAACGCGATTGCTAATACCATTAATCATCACTTATATAAATCTTAAAGACCTACACGCATATTTTATTTATTACTTTTATAATGAGGACATAATAATTAAAGCGGGATTGCAACACTTGTCGCGATAGTCAATTAGAAATGTTTAATAGTACCATTGATACTTCTGATTTATTATCTCAAAAAATATTGTGAATTACATTTTATTTATGTGGAATAACATTAAAATATCTTAAAGACGACATTAAAACATCTTTTAAACATCATATTATATGTCTTAAAAATGTGTTTAATCACTTAAACAGATTACATTTTTAGTTTATAGTGTTTATATATGTATGCTATTTAGGAAGCTATTGATAAAAGAGATTTCTTGACATAAATAAAAAAATATATTTAATATTGAAGAATTCTAAAATTTAAAATTTCTATAATAAGCATAATTTAAGCAGAAGTCTCAACAAAAATTTCTTAAAAAGTTTTTAGCTTCACGTGGACGATAAAATTAATAAGTATCGTTCTATATTCAATCTGTTAACTATTAAGTATTTTATTAAAACTATCGATATAACTATCGAACTAACATAAGATTGAATTATGAATAAGTATATTGCCCGAAAGCATTTCTGTAACATATGTTAACTATCATCAAATATGATGCCATAAATTAATAAGAAGAATCTTATTAATTTACCCAAAATTTCATTTTTCTTTTTACAGATTCCCAAAAATTTCCGCGTAGATTTCCTGAATGTCTTCACGTGCTGGTGACTGCTCACGCATTAATTAAAAGAAAACTTCAAGTAAGAAAACAAAGAGGGAAAACGATCACTCACATAATATCGCCAAGCTTGAGCCGCGTCTGTATAAGGGCACAGCTCTTGTGATCGCTGGTGGTGACAGCCCTCCGTCTCCTAGCGGCATATCGGGGCATCGCATCCAATTGCGTCGCATTTCCATCGGTGTTTCCGAGACCACCGCTGGTCCCGGATGTGGCACCATACCCGATGAGGCCCACACCTCCACGCACCAGCGGATTGCTGCCACGCCGACGCGTAGACACGTGCCGACCTCCCACGCCACCCAGCATCCTAAGAAATATATAAACTAATTAAATCCAAATAAACATTATATATAATTATAAGATAAAAACCTAAAGAATCCAAATATTTCTTCTCTATAATCACAGCTTGAATTCCGAAGCGGGTGAGAAATTATAATCCCTAATTTAAAGATTAATGTACCATTAATATAGAATTCTTAATTATTATTCTACGCCTCTTTCGTTCTCTAGCATTTTGTTTCAAAGTTCTGTTTTCAGAATTTGTACAATTTAATAAAGTTTTGGTTCTTCCCCAAAAAGTTCTAGAATTCTTGACATTTTTTTCTCAAAGACACTATATTTCCACATAATCACTTTATTTCCACATAATTAGTGCAAGGTCTTTCAGAAAAAAATTTGACCGATTAAAATGTAGGAAATTAAATATCGATAATTTACAAAATATGATAAAATTGTTTAGAAGATGCCTAAAGATTTTACATAGATTCTTTATTTTACGCTTAATCATTTTTTATTTCAAACTTAATTTCTATAAAAAAAGCTATCAAAAGATACTAAAAATCAAATCAATCCTGAGTGAAATAAATGCTGTTATGACTAATCCTCATACAATAAAAACGTAAAATTGATACTCTGTATCTTTGGATTCCTATTTTTTACTCAAGCTCTTTCAAAAAAAGAGAGAACGTTATCATGGTTGTTTTGTACACAGTGATGTGTCGGAAACGATATTGCAGCAAAAATAAGATAGAAAGAATGACGAATACGTAGCATTTCTCACTACAAATTATATTTTTATCTGATTTCAGTTTCGAAATTAGGGTCGCCGATCATTAATCAAGATATGATACTGTACATCAGATTCAAATCAGATGGTACGCATAAATCACATAACGATAAATTGTCCTGGAGTCGCCTCTCTCTGTTAAAAAAAAAAAAATTACAGAGGTAGACTAATGAGGCATGGAAAAAATTCAACATTCTTTCGTTAATTAGGTTACGTTGACTAGCTTAATCCTAATCTCTGCTAGCGCATCAGTGGCGACCAGTAGTCACGCGATCGAGCACTTGTGCCCGTCTATTTTCTGGCACACATGCCGTCATTAATAGCCCTTTTTCCCCTTAACAAATCGGTGATGCTTAACTAATTTTCGTTGGATCGATGGCAAAAAGTCAGTCGTATACGAAGAAAGAAGAACAAAAAAAGAAATTGTTGTTTTCGACATGACGGTACAAGTCGATATGAATTTACGCTATTCGTACGTTACACACCGTCTCTCGGCAACACACACACGTGAAATATTCTATTAATTACCCGCACCCGTATCTTGCATACCTATTGGCTTTTCAAACGTCATGAGCGTGGATCTCCTTTCCATTTCTACCTTTTCTCTTCATTTCCTGAAAGCGTCTGTCATGCGCGCTGAAATGATGGAAAATAAAGCGCCACTGCTATCTAGATATTACAAAATCCGATTAATCATCGTCCGAACGAGTTCACTACCCTCAGCGAACCGGAAATGCACAAAATTCACGAATATGTACCGTGTGAATAGAAACGCACCAGAAAAGATGTCAAAGTAATACTTTCGCGGCAATCAGTACCTCGATACATAAAAAAGTCCGCAAAATATGAAAAAAAAACTGCAGCAAGATGTTACTTTTTTCCGAGTAATAGATATTTTATAAAATTCGACAGATATTTTAATAAAAATTAGAGACGCTCCCCTTATATACGTTTATCCTTTATAAATGTTCTAGAATCTGGTAAATAAAGTTCGCGAAATTTTATATCGATATCAAATTGATACTTTAAGGGACGATTACAGTAATAAACGATACTCAATAAAATCAGCCGTAATGAAAACGGCCGGAATTATGAATGAATTGTGTCGTAAATATTTTAAAGATTCTGTAATCAAAAAGATTTTGATTACAGAAAAAGTACTGTAAATCATTCACGTTATATGATCGTTATTGTTTCTAACAATATCAAATTCAAAACTTTATTACGACGAAGTTTGTCAAAGTTTCACACCAAGCGCATTACGCTGACGCACGTAGGATCGGTGTATATATAAGTACATATTCATGGATAGAAATATATTGAGTATACAGTTTACATATTACGTGTTCTCCAAATGACGGTACAACTCAAAAGACTTAACTACAAAATTCTAATTTCGTGGAATGTCACAGAAATTTGCGTTACGATAGATATCAAGATTAAGAATAATATTTTAGCAAGCGTGAGTTAAATTAAATTCTCATTAAAATCTTGTTTGAAATTAAGCGAGAAAGAAGAGTTTCAGTACTTCGACAAAATAGAGATTTGTGAACGCGACGACAACAACGATCTCCACAACAATTCTACTAAGAATCAATAAGAATTAATTATTTAGATTTTAATATGTTATTCAACATTATTAAGATCTTTTCGAAGATGCGAATAAGCATCAAACATTTGTTGAATTGCTAGTCAATTTAACTTGTGATATTATTGTAATAGTTTAGTAGAGCGTTTTCAAGACCGAAAAATCATTTTGACGCACGTTTTTGAAGACATATACGTAGTATATAAATTCATACAAGAATCATACAAACATTTAAGATCCAGCTTGACTTTAAGGCTTTGATTTCTATAGTTTGTGTTATCACACATATACGGTCCTATAATATATTATATTGCCTACTAAAAGAGTTGTTAATTAGAAAATTTCTGACTCAAAGATATTTTATATTTTACAACGGGCCTGTAATACTCTCTTTTCGTGTGAAATGCGCTCCCCAGATTAAAACCACAATTTTCCGTCAATATCAATTTCTCACAGATTGAATTGTGATGCTAGATATTCGTGGCGCCGACAATTCGCGGGCGTTAACACGCGTCAGTTCTCGCACGGTTATTTGCGCGCACGAATTATTATCCGGTCCGGCTTTATCGAATGAACAAAACAGAATTACAATCCATTATGGGCACACCCACGCGCACTACGCGCATCTCAACGCGTCGCAACGCAACGTTGAAATTTCACGCGAACATTAGTGTTGCGATATTATCGTTCGTGTTCAAAAGTAATCAATTTATAAGTTTTTATGCTAATTCTTGCTTTTTCTCTTCTCTATTTCTCTTTCAAGCTCACAGTACATCCCATGAGGCTTTTACTTCATCCTTCTACTGAATCATCTTCATCTATACATCAGCCATTCATTCGTCTATTCTCCACATAAATGGAATAAAAGTCGATATGAAGTCGAGAATAGGTCTGTTGTGTTGTCCTATTCTCTCTTGTTGTTACATAATACAGATACAATCGAGAATAACATGCATTGACAATACAATCGTATCTCTCAATAAAAATTTATGAATTAAAAATAGTTTATACATTTATAATACAATTACAAAGTGCAAAAAAATATATATCATTTATATAATTTTCCACAAAGTTAAATTTGATTGAAGTTTTCTGCTCACAAAAGATATCCATTTCAAGTTTACAATTTTATTTCATTATTCATTATTATTAACATTATTTATGTAAACTGTTACTATTAAACTGTCATTATTCACTTATTGATACTCTATCATTTACGTAAACTACTATTGTATTATATCAATTGTATTATATTATTCGTCTATTTTTATATAAATTTAACAAGAAACCTAGAAAATGAGTTTTACAATCGCATAAACATAGGCTTGTCCATTCTCTTCCACGTCCTATAACACCATTCACGAGAGTTTTCGAGATGGATAATGAGAAATCGAAGGCAAAGCGCGCAAGGGCGTATATCGACGAGCTTACATAACATTTAGGGAAACATAGTATACACGTAGTAGCTAGTCTTCCCACACGCGGCACCGGTCGAAATTTTAGGGTAGCAACCTGTTGCTAGGCACCCCGGGGAACTCTTATCCCACCCTTGCTATGTTACCCGGCAACTGCTGTCCTATTCTCTTTCTCTTTCTCTCCCTCCTTCCTCTAATGCTTTTAACCTCCATCTTCTGCTTCTCTCTTTCTCTCTCTTTCTCTCTCTCTCTCTCTCTCTCCTCCCTCTCTTTCTCTCTTGCCCCTTTGCACTATGTGCATACTCTTTCTTTGTACATATGACTCTTTCGTTTTCTTTTTTTAGTATAACAGAACGAATATTACTCAAGACTCTCTTGGACAAAATGTCTAGTAGAAGATCATGTTTTAATTTTTATTTCATCCATCGTCCTTTTCATTTCTTCATTCCCTTTGTCCAGTCTACCTCTTTTCGCCGCAAATATTCCTGTCGCCGCTCTTTTCATTTATCTCAACCGAGCTTGAATTTTCCTTTAGTTCTCTCATTCTTCAAAGTACTTTTTGTTCTTCCGTTTCTAGATAACAAAATAATATACTTCTATTCGAGCATATACAGATTCTTTTTCATGTGGCACCTTGTCTATTAAATAAAAATATCCAGTACATTTTAATTCAAATAATATCCGAAACAATTTGGAAATAGAGATAATATTTTCATTGCAGATTTTTCTATCTTTAGAATCTTATCTTTCTCCTTCTTACGATAACTTCAGACAAATTATTAGATAAATAATAATATTAGGCAGATTATATTGATACGTAATTGTAGTTTTGAAGTATTAAACATAAAATTTATATCCGAATATCGAGAAAAAAATACAACAACTTTAAATATGGTAACCAAAATAAAAATTGTTATTATTGCATATTGCATTTTTATCACTATCCCAATAAATATAAAGTAATAACATAAAATCAAATGTTATGATTTTACACTCAACAATTAATTGTTATAAAACACGTGTTATATTACATTTATGTTGCTAAATGTAAAATTATAACATTGATGTTATACAGGTTACTATTAGTTAATTGGGATCTGATAAAATAACTGGCAACAACTCGTTTAGCAAAGAATTCCAAAACGTTTGTAATCATTTTTTTTGATCGCTGATTTCTTTCAGTATAAGGTACTATACCAATATAGGAAATCTAATAAAAATTCAAAGGAATCAGTCGA